AAGCAACCGTTCCTATGGCCTTATCATGTCCATATGCCTTATTATGCATGCCGATCATGCTTTGCGAACTCGTTTTAATAAATAAATGTACGTGTGCATGATTCAATGATTCAATGATTTATATAGGCCATTAAGCAAAAGCAATAGGCTAAGTCACTTACAATACAAAGTAAATGATAAATAGTCCATCTCTTGATTCACAAATAAAAGTAATGTTTGTACCAAATTCCACTAAATCGGATGATTTTTGGGAATCATCGTGCTAACGGACGATAATAACTTTTTTGGATACAGTTTAGTTAAATCTTTAGATTTTTTTGGATACAGGGTCTCCAAAAAACTTACCTAGTGTGAAAATTTATTTATTTATTGTACTAGATACAAACTACTGTTCAACGACTGATACCATAGAGAAGGCTATGCTGATACATTAAATGAAAGGTAATAAAATAAAAGTTATTTTAACACTATAACACCTCAATATGCGAACCATTTGTAGCCCTGCAAACATGCAAGCTATTTTTACTCATTTTTATCATTAATATTTTATTATTTGTATTATAATTTATTACCAAAACTATGTTCAAGGTCAAATAGGTGTACGCAACTCATTGCCAACGTACGAAACTAAAACTTTGAAGTATACTCTACACAGCACGAAATGATTATTACTCATCCATTTGAACAATAGTATCGTGAGGTATGTTTAAAACTATAGAGTCTTTTTCGGACACCCGGTATATATACAGAGTGTCCCGGAACTCTCTACCAATATTTTAGGGCATTGCTCCTGGGTAAGAAACATACCTAAATATCATATTTAAATTGTCCGGAAGTCCTTAGTTACTCACACAGCCGCCATTTTGTTTTTTTCAGTTATTAATTTTTTTCTAAAGAATGGTTAAACATATGATATTGAAACTTTGCACAAACATTTATGACAACTAGGCAAAGCTACAAAAAAATTATGACGATTTTTCATATTCATAAAACAAAATGGCGGCCATTTAAAATTTTGTTTCTTAAATAACTCAAAAACCGTTGATTTTATAAACATTGTAAATGGCCGCCATTTTGTTTTATGAATTAGAAAAATCGTCATAATTTTTTTGTAGCTTTGTCTAGTTGTCCTAAATGTTTGTGCAAAGTTTCAATTTCATATGTTTAACTATTCTTTAGAAAAAAATTAATAACTAAAAAAAAACAAAGTGGCGGCTGTGTGAGTAACTAAGGACTTCCGGACAATTTAAATATGATATTTAGGTATGTTTCTTACCCAGGAGCAATGCCCAAAAATATTGGTAGAGAGTTCCGGGACACCCTGTATATTTATATATGTTATAACAATTTGAACCAACAGTATTTTTGGCCTCTTGGAATACCAAAATGAAAAAGTAAATTTGTCCCGGGTCTAGGTCTTACCATGAGACCTACTGTAATAGCGTATTCCCTATAAGGGAAATTTGATAATAATCAGCATATCATTTATAATGGTGTGTGTTGAGGAAACCACTATTGAATCTTTTCATCAATTTCGTTGTCTCGAGCAATGCGAGAATGGCGCACGTCAACATGTTGCTCACTGTTAATGTTCAACTGACGTCATTTTTTATAACATTTCTCAACTTCCTACAGATTTGATGAGGACGGATCATCCCAAGCTCCCATCAAGTTACAACATTTTGTCTGTTATCCCTTGTCCCCGAGTCAATCCACCGGAGCTTTTCATTGTCTTTATGAGGGCCTGTTCGATGGCATAATCAGACCGAATTCCACACCAGAACTTGTCTGTACGTCTTGTAGTGAAATTTCTGATATTTGTGATTTTTTTGTGTTCTTCAATATCAATCCTGTATTTCAATTCATATTCAGCATGTCCTGTATAAATGGGCGCACTTGGCGTGGAAAAACTACCCGCTGCATAGAAGATCTGTAGAGTGATTGTAATTGGAAGATCTTATTTGCCTGATCTTTCAGCCTCAATAAACTGTTAACTATGTTAAACTGTTTTATTTTGTTTTCATGTGAAAGTATTGTACCCAAAGCTTAGCTTAAATGTTTATGTATAAACATTTGACAGCTTTGGGAAGAGTAGTTTTGCCGTTGAAGGTATATTTTGAAGGTCTGTTTTTCGGCATGTAAACCTACATTTAATTAAACGAGTTCGCGAAGCATGATCATTGAAGTATAAGACAAAACTTAGGAAATTAATTTATGTTTTTAGAAACGTACGCGAAATTCTTAACATTAATGAAATAAAAATGTTATACTATGCATTTGTCCAATCGGTACATCAATATGGAATTATAGTATGGGGAGGAGCTAGTAGCAATATTTTAAAGCCACTGTTTGTCATACAAAAACTAATTATTAAAATAGCTTTTTAATTCAACAGGCGTTTCCCTACAAATTTATTATTCAAAAACACTCAATTACTTTCGGTGCGTCAACTTTTTATCAAAATTTTACTTGTATATACCTTCTCCAATCAAGATTTGATAGTGACGCCAATCACACATAACTATCACACCAGAGGAGCTGTACATGTAGGTATGCAGGTACCCCGAGTTTTCAAGTCTGCAAACCTTACCAATGCTTTTTATATTGTAATTTTTTTGTATAGGAATATACCATCAGAGATTAGAGATCTACAGGTATCTCTTCCAGTTTATAAACGTTCGGTAAGCAGTTGGCTGTCGGAGATTGGGCTCGATCAGTCTGAGACACTTATCAGTTCAGTATACAATACATAACAATAATAAATACACAAGTAGGCTACACCAAACAATATTTAGCGTACAGACATTAGTAACTGCAACTTCATTCACTCGACTACCTTTTACTTAGCATTAACTGTTCCTGTAGCTGTCTCGTAGCTTAGTTGTAAATAGGATTTAGATTAATTTAGTTTTAATTTTTAAGAATATTTATAATTTGATTTGTAATAGAGCTCGTCCTGCGCACAGGTCTTTTACGGCCTATGCGGGACTATTGTTCGTATTTTGTATATGTATATATTGTAAAAACATTTTGGAAATAAAACAGATTTTGATTTGATTTTATCAGAACATGGGAATGCTTTATGGGGTTTTTTGTTGTTAAGAACGGGGTTTTCGTATTTTTGACCCTTAAAACATACAAGTTTACAATGTATCTCTAGACCATTTTGTAGAGCTTAAAAACAAACAATTTAGTACATTAAAATGTTTTTTTTTACAGTTATTGGTTACGGAGAAAATTAAAAAATGTAAATTAAAAAACCTCAAGTTATTCCAATAGCGAAGATTTTTTAATTATTGTTTTTTTCCTTATTTAAAGACACATTTTTATAAAATTGGGTAAATTTATTTGTTTCTTATCATACTATTATTATTTTATATACTATATTACCCTCCTTGTAGCAGCAAACCTAGGCACCAGTTAAACCTAATGTTATTTAAATAGGTTTGTGAAAATCAAATCAAGCAAATGGGAATTCGCTTAGTCTGCAGGTTTGCTGAGGTGGGGGTATTTTTATTCATACTTTCATTTATTTTCTATTAATAGCAAATAAACTGGCATACTCTCTAAATCAATACGGTGTTTGCTTCAAACAACTATATTGTGGAAATACTAAAAAAACCACAATTTTTATCGGTTTTTGGAAAAATTATTTATTTTGATGGTCTGTATTTTGACCATTATTTACGCTACATACTTGCTGTTGGGCTTAAACTGTCAAAAATTTATTCTTCTTTAATGTAATAATATAAAATTTTCGTTAAAATCAACGGTTCGCGAGATTGAGTGAGAAACAATAGTAATTGCCATATGTTTGATATTTCGATAACAAGTGGCGCGCCCCGCGGCGAGCGGCAGCATCTCGAGGTGGATAACTTGGATTTTATGTTATGGGCCCAATACTAACAACATATCCCAAAATCAGAACTACCCGACCTTTTGCATACCAAAATGTATAATTTTACTGGACTAAAATCAAATTTTCATAAGATAAAAGTAAAATCAACCCTTAGTATAGTAATCATATTTCAAATGGAGATTCATTCCTTGGAAAGTATTGGCAGTGATTCAGAAATTACAGTGATCATGGTCAAGAAAAACTTACAAACAATAGCAGATAAAGAAGTTGGAGATGTCAAAGGGAATTCTGGGATTTCACTCATTAACCTGGCAACTTGGAAAGATGGTAAACATAACTTACAAGACACAGACTGTTCTTTGAAGCCCATAACCACCTGGGACCAAAGGAGTGACACATGTCCTCAGGTTGCTGAAATCAAACTTCAAGACACAACAGATATGTCCAAAATCAAGGAATCTAAATCTGATAACATAGTTTTAAACACTATCCAAAATATATATGCCAATTCAGAAACATTAACATTGCAATCAGAGAGCAATCATACAACATTTGTGGACATTAATCTTCAAGGATCATCAGAGAACTTACAGCCTCAAAAAGTGTCCTCAAAAAGTAGCAGAAACAAGAGCAAGAAATCATTATTTTCCCAATGTTTTTCCTGTGTTCATAAAAAGAGACCCAAATAAAAATGAATTCTGAAAGTATCACTTAGATATAAAAAGTCACAAATAGAAGATTTTATGTTACTTGGATTGGAAAGTGGTTCAGTGAACTAGAAATTTTTTAAGGCTATTACTGTAACTATTGATGTCAAAATATTGTTGTACATTGTATACAAAAGTATATTCCATAAGCTAATTTTTCATTGACCATGGTAACGCAGACTGAGTTGAAGCAAAAAATTAAAAAGTTTAAACTATGACCTGGGTTTAAAGCTCTAAAAATATACAGCTAATTTTTTTTTAGTCTCCGGCTTTGAGACTTCACCTTATTCCTCAAAATCTATCCTAGTAAAAATCATTTTTCTCAGGATTCCATCTATCTTACCAATTCTGGTGTTTTAAATTGTACAATTTCAAAGAATAGAGTACGGTAGAAAAAAATTTAGGTAAGAGGAGAAATGACACCACAGAAAAAATAAAACCATATGTTTTTCTAATATTCCTAAAACACTTTTATCACATTTTCTAATCTAAAGCTCTAAATTGCTTTCTGAATATTCCCTCTCAAAGTCTGTTCCTACTCCATTTTCTTCTCTTCCTTCTTTTCTTCCTTTATCTCTTCCTTAATTTCTTCCTTTGTATTTTCTTCCTTTTCCTTCTTCTTATCGTCTGTAATCAATACCACATGTACAGGGCCTCCAGTTCCTTGTTCAATCCTCATTGGCAGGATCACCAGTTTGAAGCCCCTGGGGGGAACCCCGTCAAGGTTATTCAGATCCATGTTCTCCATGATGAACATATTGTGCTTAGTCACAGTCTTGTGAACAATCGGTGTTCCCTTGCTGTCGGGTGAAGCAGTGTCACTTCCTATACCAAAAACTTTACCTGACTCAACCAGGTATTCCGCTGCGTCTAAAAAAAATATTTTTGATTCAGTACGGTATCCAACCAAATTCAGTTAAATTATTTAGAACATAGTTGATTCATTATAACCAATACTGCTGCTTTTATTCCATTAATATTTGTGTGTGTGGTAAAGTTAAGAACAAAATCCTACAACCTAAACACAAAATTCTTTATCTTTATCCCTTTATCTATAGTTAACAGGGTAACTTAAAGGCAGTAAGGAGGTGGAGGGATGGTGAAAACGTTAGATTAGAAAGGCGTAGGTTATAAATTCAATACCTCATTGTCAGGGTTGATGGAAACAATATTCAGCACATGACTTTTTAAAGGAAATCAAAACTTTTATGCTTTACTGATTCTATTTCACATTTATAGGTTCTTAATTTATTTAACCTATTTACCTCCAGTTAAGGAAGGAAAGTGGCGATCAAAGTCGTCATCACTCTTCAAGCCGAGATACTTGACACGGTCAGGATAACGGTTGCCCCAACCAAACTGTACCAACACGACACAGTTGGAAGGTAATGCTCCATTCTCCTCCTCCCAGTCCTTGATGTCCTTAGCTGTTAACTGGTACTCTGGATCCTTCAGGACCTCTTCTGTCTTGTTGATCAGGACTCCTGTAATTATATGATTGAAATTCAACTTTCTATGACCACTATAACTGAAGAAAGAAAGCATGCAGGCGCGGTTTGCATGTGTCCTGATACGGACACAAGGGATATTCTCTCCCCCCTCTTCTTGGAGGGGAATAGTTCTCTTCTTTGTACTCCCAACAAATCATTAAAATTTCTTGTACCACTGGGCCTGGGCCCATTCACTAAAACTGGCCCTGAATGCATGGGGGTAAAAGAGTTTTAAATTTAGATTCAATTTTGAAATTTCTTTACGTTTTTTCTTCATGCAGTGGTTGTTTGTGTAAAGCCTGTCAGGTTATTTTTGAATCCAAAGTGGACACAGCTGTCATTTATTATTTGGATTATGCACAGATATTAGAACAGAAATGGTATGGATCATGAACATAATAAAAATGTTCACTGCCCCCGAAAGTAAACATGATGTCTTTATATTATTATTGAAATGGTATTTACCTATTGAAATGGAACTGTTAAAAAAGGTCCAAAACAGATGTTAGGATAACATTCGGGCCAGGGACGTAATTTGTTAATGTTTATGATCCACTGTTTCTTTTCTAAATATCCAAGTGGTACGGTGGGAATTTAATTTATGATTATAAGCCACTTCATAGACTTTTTTACTATTGACTTTTAGTATGATGGTGGTTGGTCTAAGGTTATTCTCCCATATTGTAACAAAAATATGTTTGTCACATTTTTAAATTGTTGTTATTGCTTAGGTACATAAATAGTTATAAATACCTGTGGATCTGGGAGGCTACAGCCCCCTCCCCACCTCTTTTTGGAGTAATATATATTTTTTCCAAATCACGAACTAAACAGTAGAGATGTTGAGGTTAGATTTTTACTCTACACTGTGTCTTCAGATTGTCTCTAAATGCAAGTTCGCAGTTACCTCCAGCTCTATCTAGTTGTAGCACCTCATGAGAGTATTTTGGAAACAGACCCCCTCTTTTCCAAATGGTACCAACTCGCTTATTTGAGGAGCATGTGAGAGAAGGATGAGATGATAGCTTTTTTACTGACTAATATCACTAATATCAGCTTGTTCTCTAGTCAGGACCGCTTACTCAGTTACATGAAAATAAAGAGACTTACCCTCCACCATAAATAGGCGGTTCAGCGGGACTTGGCCGAGCTTCCAGCCGTCCTTGTTGAAGTGGTACGGAGCGTCAATGTGGGTTCCTCCGTGCTCGGCTGTACTCAGTTTGTTTGTAGCCACCCAATGTGGGTCTGTCAGTCTGACCAGAGGTTCCAACACAAACTTGTCTTTGAACCTGGGAATAAACAAGTCTTGTACATATGACACAATTGTTTGATCATGGTTAGAAGAATACTTATGAGTAATTCTGGGCTACATGGAACTCAGGATTTTTGGCACCCAAAACCTTCATTTCAATTTAATTGATCACATGCTACTTGCAGTAAAGCTATATTACCAAACATTGACTCTGAACAATGCAAGTGGACTTTTTGTAAAATTTGTTGACATATTTTATGTCAGGTAACCTTTCAATGTGCTGATATTGAGTTTACTAAGGTTTTCTCACTTATTTTAGGGTAAGTTTCACAAAGTTTGCAAATAGTACAAATCGGTAATGTTATTTGGTGGAAAGAGTTTTAACGTTAGTAAGAAGAAGAAGTGTAGCAAACAACAAAATGCCCCCTACATACAACAGATAGTAATATGATTTGAACTTTTCTTCAGTTGATCTTTAATATTATTTTGTCATTGATTAAGGTTGGATTGATACCCATTACTCAACCAATATTTTCATTTTGTGTGCTGCTCACTTTAAAAGGTTTGTTTATTCGGTCTGAGTAACAATCAGTCTGAGATAATATTTTACATGCCAACCATACAGTTTGAAACTTCTGTGCCTATTACATTACCAATCTCAAAATCATCTTTTTCTACCTTTTATCTTGAAATCATAAAAAACCTATCCCTGACTGGTTAAATTTTGCATAAACTGAATAGTGTAATCGTAATGTTCAGGGCTAAATAGATCAATTGGAATGTGTGCTCAATATCATTTTAGAGTATTCCATTCTAGATTTTTTTATGAACCAGTTGCCACTGCAGAGATCAGATTATTATTTTTGGTGTGAAACTCTAATGTAGAATAAAAAAAAATAACAGAATAAACAAGAAAACAGAACCAATTTCTATCAACTGCCTTCTTTTATGTGTTCAGTTACTAGTCTAACAACACAAAATTTCAAAGCTTTTTAAATGCAGCAAGGTATAATGGTTTATTGTTATAATGGATTTTATACCATATTTTCTTGCCAAGATACATTTTACTCACCAGTACAGGGTATTCTCATTGATTGGGTAGGTCAAGTCTATGTAGGCTGCAGACACTAAGGTAAGACTCCAACATAACACTCCCACGTCTACAGTTCTCAACATGTTAGCTAATCTAAAACATATTTTATTTCAGTCTATGGTGCACAACTCAGTTAACTTTGAGATATTTTTTTACATTCTTTCATTAAGGATTTTGTTTGGAAATAGGAATACCATTTAGTTAGCTTAGCTTATCTGAGAAACCCGCATGCCATATAGATATTTTGTCCTATTAGAGCTTTTTAAGAAAATACTGTAGATGGTGAGAAATATCTGAACCTAAACTATATACTGCTTTAGTAAAAAAACTCAATGGATATCCCACTTAAAGTTCTTAAGTAACTTAAGTAAAAATGTGTGTATTACTATTGAGTATTGGATACTGATTGGGTGTATTAATAGTCAAAGGTATTACTGTATTGAAGAGAATCTTGCGACTCATGAAAACACCACAGTGCTCCACTACATAAGTACTAACCCCCCTAGGAAAGTAATAAAACCGTTGGATACTACTTTAAGTTGTGTAAGCATCTAAGAAAATACTATGCAATTTAACAGAACTCGTACAACAGATTGAAATCGAGGGAACTCCTCAAAACCAGCTATGCAAAGATTACTGTAATATATACTTTTCCAAACAACTAATGAATTTATAGTCATAAATCAAAGTTAAACTGATTGCATTGGAAATCATAATCATCTTTCAGAAACAGTACGTAAAAATAGTTGTAATTAACTTCAAACTTCATGCCATCAAAAATTTTTTTATCTTTGAGGTAAATAAAAAATAAAAGGTAAAAGGTGATGATGATACTTAGTTAGGTGTAATTCTGTACTCTCCTCTATTCATCTTCCCCCTTGATTACACAACTTGTCGTGGAAAATCAAAATATAGGTGGTTAACTGGAACCGTGCAAGTTTTAAAAATCTTAAAGTAAAAATGGTTAAATATTATCAAAATTTATTTGGCTTCAGAGTTTTAAATAATATCTTACTCAAAGTATGAATCGATAGAAAAAGTGAAAATCCTTTTGTTCAGTATAAACTTAAATTAGTTTATTAATTTGTCAATTTCCAGATTTTAAATCAATAGGGTGCAAACAACTGCAGCTGAAACAAATAATGTGAATTTATTTTGAAAGATCTGCAACAGAAAAGTTTTATAACGTAGGATATTCTTACCTGTGTCTCAACGAAGGTGTATTATCTTTTCCAGGAAATCGCCAACTGAAGTTGTGCAGAAGTCTTGCTAATCGCAACTAGATTAACAGGTAAAATAAAAACAGGTTCTTAGACGAGACTAATATCCATACTGGACAGAGGATTGCATGTCTGCTATAGCAGGCCCAAGGTTAGCCCAACTTCCTGTTGGTTTCATAACAAGCCGAAAAGTGTCCCTTCAGGCTTGTTTGTCTATTTTGCTACACTTGCAAAATCAAATTCATATGTTGAAAGTATTTGGGAAAAGACTACCTATTCCAATGTGTAATAGATCAGAGTTATAATGGTAAGGGGGGGGGGATTAAAAAAACTTTTTTGTGAGGGGAAAATTAGTTAGAAATATAACTACAATAATAATTAATATCTGTACTCATGTTAACGCACATGCCCATGCCTACATTGATCTTACCTTTCAATTTTAGAAGGTGATTTCAACATTCTTATTATTCAGAGTATTTGTTTATTGAAGTTTGTGATGAATTTTAAATTATAGATAAAAAATACCTTGTAATTTATGTAATTCCTAATGTGAAATAATCGATTATTTCATTTCACTTTGTTTGATTAGTATTACCACTCAAGGGGTTAACAGAAGCTAGATCTATTATAAAATTGCCTAGTTTTAGTAAGAACTGAAGTGTAAGTAATTAGACTAAGATTTGCTCAAATTTGTTAGTATTATCAAAGAATATGTAATCTTTGGTATTATTCATTTTTAGTGTATGGAGGAAAGACATGCCTCTAGAAATTAAAGGTATTTTACTACATAGTAGTAGGTAATAAAGCATAAACTATGAATGTTGTGTTGTAAAATAGGATGTTACTTGAAATGTCTAGGGTGGGAATAGTTAATTGTGTAACTAGTTGGTGAAGTGTCACTTTGCTGCACATGAGAGAACCTAGCGTAGGCAAGTGAGGAAAGTTTCTTGAGTGCAGCAAAGGCAGTTTACACATGTGTTACTCATATTATATTTTTCCTACAGTTACTATAAATTATATAAATGATTATGCTTTCAAACATTGTACAACATGTTTTTAGGTTAGGTGGTTAAATCCAAACATTGAACGAAATGGGAAACACTGTACCATCATTAAGACCTCGTTGGTTTTATGTGATCTGCACTGTACCAGCTGATCGTAGTGTATCTTTAAGTGTTGCCAACCTATTTCCAAGCATACACGAATAATTATGAGCATAATAAAAGCACACTGTTTTCTGTTGTTTGGTTGGAGTACTGGTGTGCAACAAAGTAAAAACTGTGCTTCAAAGTATAAAGTGTGTGGAAAAGTAAGTCAAATGCAGCAATTATCAGCTTTCTGTACTAATCAGTGCAAGGAAGTCCTTTTTTGTCGAGTGACTGTAGGAAAAGTTAATTTTATTGACATTCAAAGGGTAGTTATTGAGATAATAATTCATTGTTTATAATTGTTGTCTAGGAAGGAGATTATGTTGTGCCATATGTATTTTGTTCTATACTCTGTTCACAAAATTTCTTGCGGTTTTATAAGAAGAAATCCATCCCCTCCACATCTTGATACTACCATTAAAACATAGCTCAACAGGTGAGATTTGTCAAAACGTCAATCAGCTTCAACATATTATATTAAGCAGAAAAATGTGGTGGGGAAACTACCCCTCAAACCACCTAAATTGTGTAAACCAACTATAATTGGGGATAGGACTTTTCCCCAAATGCTTATTTTTGGGGATGTTGCTGTATTTTGTCTCTAGAAAATTTGGAGTTATGAAGATTACACAAATAATGTTAGAATAGTACAAAATGATTTTTATTATAGACAAAATCAGCTCACTCCATGTGTTCTCCCTAAATATTGTGTTATCATTTTACTACTTCTTTATCCTCTTCCTTCTCCTTCCCCTCTTTTTCATCATTAACCAATACAACATGTATTGGACCTCCTGTGCCTTCTTCAATCTTCATTGGTTGAATGGCCAGTTTGAAACCTCTAGAAGGAATGCCTTCAATATTTTTCAGATCCAAATTTTCCAAGATAAAGATGTTGTGTTTTGACGTTTTCCTGTGAAAGATCATATCATCCTTGATGTCTGGTGAGGCAGTGTCAATCCCAATACCAAACACTTTACCTGACTGGACCAGATAATCTGCAGCATCTGGGGGCAAAAATTAGTACATCTTAAATCAAATATCAAAATTCAATATATAGATTTTTTTCCAACGTAGCATATTGTTCAAGATATGATAATTGTATAACTGCTTGCTTTATGGCCAATATTAATCCAGCTTATTTTTTTGATAAACTAAGTTAGACGATTCAATTAATTAAGATTCAAAAACTTCTGACTATGAATGCAAGGTGAGTTTATAATGAAGCAAGAAGATCTTTGTAGTATTACTACTGACTAAGATCAGCTATGATGATCAAGAATAGCTGAATCAAGTTTCAACTATCAAAAATTAAACTAAAAATTTTCTCAGGATTGTAGATTACTAGATGAGCACTATAACAACTCTAATACCCAGCTATGTATAAGGTCCTAAGCCTATCCAAAATTTCATAATAATGAAAAATAGAAGATTTCATCCGTAGGGCGTAAAGTGACTCTTTTCGACCCAAGCTAAAGTTTCAGGATTGAGGCTTAGCCAGGGTCGGAAAATGAGCGAGGGTTGAAAGAACACTTTTTTGCAGTGTGATGAACTGTATTTTTTGTCACATTGTAACATTATTTAACAAACTACAACATTAACCACAACATTTATTTAACAAAGAAGTTAGAAAATTAAAGTAATTATCAAGTAAAGATAACCTCTCAAAAACGTCATCCAATTTGTTTTTAATTTTACTAATACAACAAGCAGCTGTTTAGTAAGCGATTCAATCATTTTGTCTATTACGATTTTGTTAGTGTACATTATACTATCAATAAGTCGAACAATTGACAAGAATGCAATGCAACAATAAGCTAAACCGATTAAAACAATCTATTTTTTTCACCCAAGTCACTTCTGTAGACGGAATGCTGGGCAAGGAGTTTCAGACCTTGCTCAGAGCAATGGCAGAATAAGAAAAATGGAAGAAACCTTACAGTATGAATTGGATAAGGGTGAAAACCATCTGTGCGACATTAAGGGCCAGCAGCATGTGTCTAAGGAGGACAAGGAAGAATTGGAGGACCCTTAGAGAATTTGAAGATGGGACTGGAGTACCAGCTTTTTATTAATTTAAATAGCATTGTTCATTTTTTATGTTAACTGATTGATTTGGATTAATTTTTTTTATTGCTATTAACAATGAAAACTTTAAAGAACTGTCTTCTGTAGGTAAAAGTTGGTTGTCTAATGAGTAATATGACTCAATATTTTAACAGCTTACTATACCAGGTCTAGAATTGCGTATTTCTCCCAGAGAAGTTTTACAAAGTGGAATAGACGCTTATTAAAGAACTAAATGTTGACTGAGACTTACTTACTTTATACTTTATACTTTTCTTTGAAATGACGATCATACAAATGCAGGTATTTTAAGCCAAGTATGAATAGAGATGAGTGTGGGATGAGTGGCGGGATCTTGTAGTCTTGTTAGTGACTAAGGCCGACATAATCCTTAGACACAGCTGTTAATTAATAGCCCAATGGCAACTAAGGGACCTACAGTTTATAGTGGAATCCGAACCACTTTTTTGCCTTGGTATATATGAATTGGTCTAATTCTCAGGATAGTACTGCGGATAGTCGTTTACTCACTCGTGCGGACGTTAATCCACACCAGGGAGTATCGCATCCACAGTGCATGCCTATAAATATCCACAATTCTTGACCTCCTAGTAGCTGGATTACAGGACGACGCCACCCGTCCCAGTCCATTACATCAAAATTAATCCAATTCAAATCAGAGTAATTCTGTGTAATAATGTTGTACTATTCCAAATGTATCACATGTCTCACACTTCTCTCATAGAATCTACAAAGGGTTTGCTAATGTTACCTCCAGAAATAGTAGGAAAGTGACGGTCAAAGTCGTCATCACTCTTCAAGCCGAAATACTTGACACGGTCAGGATAACGGATGCCCCAACCAAACTTTACCAACACAACACAGTTGGAAGGTAATGCTCCATTCTCCTCCTCCCAGTCCTTGATGTCCTTTGCTGTTAACTGGTACTCTGGATCCTTCAGGACCTCTTCTGTCTTGTTAATTAGGACTCCTGGAATAGTTTTCAGATATATTCCACATTCTTAAGTGTTTTAAAAAGTTGGACACTAGGATACACTACATGCAGTACTTGATTTCCAAAGTTAAAGCAACGCTACCATTATTTGTCTAAGCAATGCAGCATTATTTGTCAAAAAATGACCCTAGAAAATAGGGAGATAGTTTCTCAAGGTCGCCCCTTAAATTTGTTTTTCTGGTTTCATTCAGACAAAAAGGCTTACCCTCCACCATGAATAGGCGGTTGAGTGGAACTTGGCCGAGTTTCCACCCGTCCTTGTTGAAGTGGTAAGGAGCGTCAATGTGGGTTCCTCCGTGCTCAGGAGTGCTCAGTTTGTTGCTCGCTGCCCAATATGGGTCAGTCCGACGGACTGTGGGCTCCAACTCAAACTTTTCCTTTAACCTGCGTTAAAATTTGCTTACATGTAGCATTGGACCTCTTTAAAATCATTATAAGGTACAGGGTGGCTGAAAAGTAACTTGATCCCCCCCCCCCCTCTTAACTTTTACACTATTTGCGATATTTGAAATCAGTTTGCAGTTATGGCGGGCTACAATAATTTTAAAGATTATGGTTAATTTTAAAAACTTTACCCTTAGGGGTAGTGGGAGTAGGGGGTCGAAGTATAGTTGACTTTCATATAATTTTGCAGGTCTTAATTGAACCAAAACAATTGACACAGAGAAAATAAAAATCGGACCACTATGTTAAAGAAAAAAGTTTTCATTAGAGAGAAGGGCCAATAGTTATAGAACTATATAGTAGTTTGCAGTCACAGTGCATTATTCCCTGCAAAATGTCCCCCACCCAATATGTTTTCCGTCTCAAGTCACATCAAGTTTTTAGTACAATTAATCGCAATAGTAAATACATTCTGAGGTTATTTTTGAAAGTTTAAATAATTTACAATAAAATGTTACGCTTGAAAGTGAAAGCTTATAACCAAAAACTTTACAATTTTTATAGGACACTGTAACTGTAATAGCCAACACAAAAGACAAGTTTTGTAAACAATGGATTTTCTTGTGTAAATTATTCCGTCGTAATGTAACAAAATATACATACCAATAAACCGTTTTTTCATTGACAGGATGGGTCAAATCTATGTAAGCAGCCGAAACTACAGTCAGACCCCAGCATAACAATACCCTTGTGTCTACGATATGAAACATTTTTGATGTTCTGAAAATAAAAGAATTAAAAACTTGTACACATTACTGTAAATAATACCTATTCAAATGTTGGGATTGTATAGGGTACGAACGTTTTCTAAACAATTAACATTATTACAAAAAAATTAAACAGATTTTTCAACATCCATATTAAGTTTACTTAAAAATTAACAAATATTTTGTGCGAGTATAAAAAAATCTTATTATTAAAAATGAATCTTTGATTGCTTTCAGGTTTTACTTTTTTTATTTAAAATAAATAAAAGGTTGATTAAACATTAGTAATGATTAAATTTCTTAATATTTAGCTCTCAGTTTGTGACAGTTTTCTACACTTTGCTGAAACTTACGAAAAACTGAAACTATTGAAATATATAATTCCTACAAGATGTAGTACTAACACTCACAGATGCAGTCCTGGTGGAAGTAAGGAGCAAATGAGCGGAAGGTCAATAATTTTCCTGTTAAGAGGTCAATATAAACCCTTCCAATCTCCCCTCCTAAACTCTTGTTAGCTCAGCTAGTGTTATCTCTCTGGTAGTCAACTTGTAGACTTTCTTGTTAGAGTAGATATGGTTAAGTCATGTTTAAACTACAATCTAGCTTTTAGAACATTATAACTTTTACTTCCTAAAATCTTAAATGTTACTTGATTTGGTACCATATTAAAAACACCTTTTAAGATTTATTTTCTTGTTAAAGACCAGCTAAAGACAATTTCAAGTCATGTTTTTGCACTGCTTGGAATGTGTTTTGATGTTCACTATGTATTCATCGTGTTGTTTCAGAATTTAAAAGTATTTTTTAAATAAAAGAAATCTTAATATTTGTAAACTTGTTCCTTGTATGTCCTCTACAATAAAAATAAAATATTGTAAGCAGTAAGTAAACAATATAATATTTTACATAAAATAATAGAAAAGCATTTCGTGTGCATAACTATAAAAAACCGGATTTGACATGAGAAAAGAGATTTGGGATTTTGATTTTACAATTGTTTGAGAAATCACCTTGCAGTTTCTAAAGTGCACTTTCTTACTGTCTATGCCTGTGGCATTTTACAAGGAATTATAGAGGAGATACGCATTTTGGAAAAGCAATTGAAACCCATATTATTTAGTTTTCTCGTCAAAATATCAAAATTCTCGTCTAAATTTACAACAAGTGTCAGTAAAATAAATGTATGAATACATTAATTAATAACTAATGTGTTATAATTAAACAGACCATTAAAAAAAAATAATATGGCTAGCCATACAATTCACAAAGGATGGATTCAAAAATATCCTCATAGGAAAATACGTAATTGCAAATTATGATGTTGTCTAAAAAAATTATGCATACAAATCGGCTGCAGAAACCAAACTCCAGTCGCAGCACAAGCATGAGCTACTATAGTATCAGTGAGAGAACTGGCGCGGTCTGATGTGCGAGTGTTGTGCACTGTGCAGTGTCTTCAATGTTAACACGTTTTCAACAAAACACTTACGCTCAATTGATTAATTATTTTAAATTGCTATTGTGTTCAACGTGATGACAATAGCCTAATTGGTGATAAACACGATGACATTTAAATTTTTGACTCTGCCAAAAATACTCTTTCCGTCACTTAACTATGAAATAACAAAATTTTATAATCGGTATATTTTTAGGATGTGTATAGTTTTAATGTAAATTATAATTTGTGAAAATAATTAGCTAACTCATCACACTGTCAATAATTAAAAGCTCAGACAAAAAACCAGACAGACATACGGTAATAGACAGTCAATCAGACAAGTAGTCAGACACACAGACAAAAAGACAGTCAGACAGACAGGAAGAGACAGTCAAACTGACAGTTAGACAGACACATAGACGGAAAGAGAGAGTCATAACGGACAGGTAGACAGACACACAGACAAAAAGACAGCCAGACAGACGGAAAGAGACAGTCGAACGGTCAGATCGAACTTGCAATCATTCAGTTGTAAACATTCGCCAATTGAAGTCAACACAGATGACCCACATTGTGATTATGATATACGACCAGTGTATTTATCCAGCCTCCAGCCCACACGAGACAGACCTACTTTCTTCCACAGAGACTTCATATAGGATGTTCCGAAGTACGATCAACAGAGTCACTCCTTCACTCATCGTTGCGGGATCGAAATTTCTTCTAAAACTTCGCTAAAACAAACGAAGACTAACAACATCTTGAATGTAATAAAATAACAAAATGATTATCCATTTAAATTATTGTGACGGAATTCCAAACTCACAAATTTGCACTGTCCAAGTTTACGAATTTGAAATGCAAATATCAAAAAGAGATAATGAAATATTGTTCAAGTAACAATTCCTGGAGATGAAAAATCATAAAAAGTCAAATACGAAAGATCCTGATTATGAAACACTCGCAACAAACAAGGTTTGTACATCATAAATCAAATACTTCGAATATCTTTGATCTGTTCAAACGGAAATCCTAACCGTCGAGATAACGTCTTATTTGACAAATTAAACTCCGAAATATCGTTGTATCTTGTGGGTGATGAGGGGGGACACCTGATAGATACTATACTAGAGATACTCACTCCATTATACAGGTCCTCTCATTTTATTCAGCTTAACCACCAAAAGTGTACGTAGCTGCATTGACTATATACTATAATGGAATATTATACAATATAATAATGGTATATAGTCAATTATATTTATTGTATATAGTCAATACAGGGTGTGGATCCTTAATATAAACTGTGAAGGTGATGCTTTTCTTCATTAAAACATCTTTCTTCAGAATGGTTATCCCGTGGTTATTTAGACTTTGTAGAGATACTTTACTTTTGTCTATCCAATTTTGTAGTTGAGATAAATTCTAGATTTAAATTTGAATTGCTCAGTTGCTGAGTACAATTATTAATCTATATAAATAAAATTAGAGTTTTGTCCGTACATTGCTCAGAATTATATATTTTTGGGTAATTTTACGTTTTATACCTTAAAGAAGCAGAAATGAGTCTTATCTCTATTTCTGTCTGTCTGTCTGTCTGTAACACTCAAGATGGCATTTTACGCAATCTTCTCCGTGAAAACGAGAGTACATATCAAGATCCAAGTCATTTTAATGTATTAACTGGATTGGCGAGAGTGTCTTTAGTCATTTAAATATGGCCTCACTACTTTGTAAATAAAATTACGGACGTTCAAAAATGCAGTTTCGTGCGATTTTTGTCAAATTTTCGTTCAATTTTTATCACATAATCGTCTATGAAATAACGAACAGCTGTTCGGATCAAGATTATTTTTTGTAGCTGTCACTGATATGTTTACACATGTTGTTTACAAATACCGCAGCCATTTCCGATCACGTTTTGAAAGCAAATCCCAACCAAGTGAGATTAAAAAAGTTTTTCTTACGTAACGGATTTAATTAATCGTAAGTGCATATTATAGTGAAACCGTTTATGAAATTAAAACACGAAACATCATCCAGGTCAGGAACCAGAAATTCTTTGTGTATAAAATTGTTCTTGAGTTTTGATAGCCAGAAAAAAGACCTGGAATCAGTGTTGTATAAGGCTGGGACACTTAATGATCGTCGCCAATAGCTTACAAACAAGGTTTCCACTCATTGACGGCGCTTGAATGGCGATTGTGTAAAGTGTAGAGAAAAAAAAAATCACAACTGCAGTGGGCGATTGTAACATAGGTTTACGGATGATGCTAAACTCGCTTTTCCAATGTGTCCCTTTATGTTTCTATTCTTCGTGTAATGCAATCGCTGGACCATACAGCAAATAGGCCCATAGCCCATCTCTTGGGTACGTACGCCTACATATTTATTCATCTAACAACCTTTTCGACGACGATCCTTGATACCAGTACTTTTCCATAGAATACATAGCCTACCTACTTTAAGAAATAAAATTACAAATGTCCAAAAACCCAGCATTGTGTGATTTTTGTCACATTCAACTGACTACTATAAGATCCCCGTACGTAGAACGGGCACACAGCTAGTCCATAATATAATTGTAGATTAATGAACCAAGCTAAAAAGTATTCTTGTATAATTTCTGTTATAGGCAAACTTGTTTAAAATCCATAACCTTACAGAGTGAGATCGTTTGTGTCTTAGATGAATTAAGTTACAAGTATTTTATGAAACCAACCCATTTGTATAGGACTGGATTTCAGTCAGCTGTAGCAGAAATCTCATCGCAAGGTCTTGAACAGTGACGGATTTTGAGTGATGATCAGTACTGCGGTTGACATTCCCAGGGTCTGCTCAGTGATGCAGAAGTGACGAGGGCTAATACCATCTATTTTAAAATGGTATCAATGAGTTTAATCTGTGAAGCAGTAAAGGTTAGGTTAGGTTAATCATTCAAAATTAAGTGCGAGCATCTCAAAAGTACGAGAGTCGGTAAGCCGAATTAAAACATATTCATTAAATGTTAATTTATAATTCGGAACGTATCATGTCTGCAATGAAATATATGGAAATTAACGTAATTCCGGTGCTGATTGTCTACAATGCTCAATTTGGCACACCCCTTTACCGCACGTCGTTGCTTTTGTGAATTCCAATTCGGCTGTCAAAACTGTCAGATTATGCCAGATAGCCTGCTCGGCGCTGGGAAGACGTGGCGCTTGAGGGACTCGGCGCTCGGGTGACGGAATCGTTCTAAGTGGAGGGGACTAGGACCCTAGAAATATAAATTCAAACATACATTTCGTCATAAAAACGCAACAGAGGTTTTTGGATACAGTTCTATAGACATAAAAATGGATGTAAACAGTCCCCAAATGGCTTTAAAAATAGCTATTTTTCCGGGGAAGGACTCCGAACTATTCTTCTGTGTGCTTACCCCATTATCCTCTGACTAAGTACTGGAATCGCCACTGATGTTGATGATCATGAGTCCTCGAGAGTGCTTCCAAGAGAAATCTGATTGAGGAAACCTACCTAAAACTCAACGATACTCAACTCAATGTAACACGGGGGAGATCTATACTATTCCTGAGTCATCTTCTATTGGTGAGATTACCATTATCAAAGTAATATTTATGACCCGTTGTAGCAAGAGAATATGGAAGAGATAAACTTATTTTATGTTTTCCAAGTTGGCTTCTCAAAGTTCAGCTAAGCGTGGAAGAGTCACCTAGTAGATGTAGATAGATGTTGTATTTACATGCAGTATATGTCGAGGGATGAATCACACGAACCATAACACTAAATGTCACAGTGACCGTGACATATTCATGCAACAATCGCACATTTGGCACGTCCCAATATGCATCATACAGTCTTTGTCCGCCGTGCAATGCAAAGTTGGCATTCTTGACGAGAAAGCATCAACTTGAATTGCATAATAGTATATGTTTACATAATGAGAACAAGTTTTCGTGAACAAAATTTTTTATGAAAAAATTAATTTAAATCTATCTCAAGATCTCAGTCAGTAACGAAGCTATCACTTTATTCAGTCAACGCGTATCCTTTATTCGTATAGTTTTATCTAAAGAAAGAAATTTAGAGGAAAAGAAAGTATGTACTTATTGCAAGCTTCTAGATAAAAAGTGAAGAGGTTTGACCATCGAACAGTTCTTACCATAACGTGTTTGAAATTAAATCAGAAAATGTCGCAATAATTTTACTTAAACCTTGGTAACATAAAAATAATATTCCGATACAATATAATACTATGTGAAAATATTCACAGTATTGTTTCATGTTGTAACATTATTATGGTCCTAATAAATGTAAGCATATAGAACGAGAAAAAAATGACTTATCCTGATATAGATTCTTTGTGGCACACCCATCATGAAACCGAATCTAAAATGCAAGCCTGGTGAACTAAAATAAAGACACGATATTTATTAATCTTTAAAATGTTAAAACCGAACTTAGTACAAATAACGACGAAATAAAAATGCAATTTTTTTACCAGTGTAGTGCAAAATATACATTATGTCAAAGTGAAAGAAACATAAATTAATGCATGCTATATTATATTAGGAGACCTACAACAACTAAGGCACCCATTACACCTTACCAGTTCACCTATTTCGCCGTTTACTCAAAACAGAACCAGTCTCATTATCGAAAAATCAATCAGAAGGGTTAAACGGTTTGCTAAACTTCCAAATAAATGACCAGTTACTGAGTAATTTGGTCAACCGTGTGGTAGAGTGAGAGAGGGAGAGTAAGAGAGAGACAGACTATCGAACGTGTTCAGTGTGTGTGCGAACGATAGCTGTAGACGGCCGATACTGCACCTCGGTGAGTAATACATTTTAATTGAAATTATTTTTCTACATAACCAACAGGATATTAAAATTAAATTAAGCTGTTGACAATATTAAATTCAGTTTAACAGATATTTCTGCATTAAAAAATTTATAATAATTTAATGAGCAAAGTGAATTGTTATAAGGGATCCTGAAAGGTTAGTAGCTTTTTGATAGTTCGAAACTGGATCGAACTGTCCTTAATCGTGGAGGTTTTTATACATTATCCTGGCCAAAGAATATAACATAAGCGAATCTTGGTCAGGAAGGAACACCTACTCAGATCATACATCCATTCTATATGCCTAATTTTTGACCCTCAAAGCACAAAATTTCCCAATTTCTCTCTAGACCTTTTTAAAGAGCTTGAAAACAAATAATTTAGTATAAGAAATTGTTTTTGTAAGGTTCCAAAAAATTCCAAAATAAAAAATTCCAAAAAATATCAATTGAAAATTCCCTTGTAATTCTTATGGGGAATATTATAAAATGTTGTAGTTTGCTTGTTTATGGACATATTTTGACCAAACTTGGCAAATTCATTTATTTTATTTTAGGCTATTAATATTTTACCTAAAATACACTTTATTGGTTTCCTTGTAGCGGTAAACCTACTTAGTAGTTAAACCTAATAATGTTATTTAATTAGATTTAATTGAAAATAAATTTCAGACAAATGGAAATTGGCTTAGTCGGCAGGTTTGCTGCGCCGGGGGTATTTATGCTTTCCTAGTTGTCAAAAGGCTGCCAGTTCAATCCTAAGAAACGTTTTTTAAGGAGTGTTTAATGATTTTGTACTGAACCCAAAACAAAACTGTTCTTGGTAATTTGTCCTATGTGCCCTGGTTATAGAAACAGCTGATCTACCCAGTAGCTACAAATTTGGTCTCACCCCATTATTAATTTATTTTGCATTCATTTTAAGATTTTAAATATGCACCTACATTTTAATTAGTGACAAAAATACGTAAAACTGCAAATTACATCACCCACAAATGTATTTTTTTTACGATAGTAATTCGCCTGACAGATAAGCAAGCGTAGTCTACATTTTTATTCCCCCCCAGGTATGGTGGACCGTGGGTCTAGTATACTCGGCATCACTAACTTGTACCTCACGATCCCATAAACCATTACCACGCCATTAGCCCAGTTGAAAAACGAGCGAAACCAATTTAAGAGTTCTAAATTGAAGACGGCTCCGATATTAGCTCTTAAACAGCTGATCCAGCAACCTTTCACAAGGTGTGCGAGTTCATTGGAGGCAATTTGTTTGAAATACAAAGAGCTTTGAACAATAAACTACATGCCATTCAAATTGTATCAAGTAGCTACTTTTTTCAAGCACAATTTGTTTACAATCTCCATTTACAATTGACGTAATAAGAAAATATTATGTAAGTTTAACTGGATAAAATCACACTCCAACTTAAAAATACAATGCCCCCGCCGCAGCAAAACTGCAGACTAAGCGAATTCCCATTGTCTATCAATTAATTTGTCTCGATGTCAATAGTTTTTATTTCTCTGTTAAAATATGTTGGTGTCTTTATAAAGTGCTTGATTTTCAACGTACCGTGGGGTCTGCAAAATCTGCTCTAGTAGTTTTTATTAAGAGCTAGATGCCTTTGGACCAAACCAAACAGGTTAAAATAAATAAAATATTGTTCCAAATTAATTCATTTTGGTAAAATTGTCGTGTATTTAAGTCAAGTATACGTAATGCTGTGGACTTACTATACTCCACCTCCTTGATTAAAATATTTATTTTAACAGTTTCATTGATACAAAAAACATACAAACATTAGCTTTGTTAGTAATAATTTATTACTTGGTTTTGCTGCTACCCTACAAGGAACAAAACAAAAGGAAAATGCTACCTATAAATTGTTCGCAATGAGTTTTCAGTTCAGAATAATGCATACAATCCCCAAATTATATTTACGTTTATCCATCAAGGAGGGATTGAACACGTGTTTGACACTATCTAGGTATTTATATCTCAGTATGAAATAGACAGAGAATAAATGTGTTATATACATGATTTAATCTGACTTAATTAATAACAAATCTTAAAACAAAATACTCGGAGAAAAGTCTAAAGAATATTTTACACAACCTGCACCCAAATCCCTCTTTCCGTGATCCCATCAGGGTTGTTTGTGAAATAAAGTATAGTCAGTTTATACATTTTAATCAAAATTCCATAACATTTAGATATTTATGTCACCTTAAGACAGGTCCACTCATAAGAAATACGATGTGATTTGCTTGAACATTGCTTTACCTTTTTGGTAGCACGCAACAAACAAGTTTAGTGGTCCCGGTTTTCTGGTGCTTATATTAGTGGATAAGTGGTGGAGGTATTTGTTCTTACCAATATCTCACCCTGAAAATTATTTCCCTTCAGGTAAATTCTCTAAAATATCTTTGATACCACGAATAAGCCTTACATGCCAGAAGTCTATGCCATGTAGGTTAGGATTCACTATTTTAATACATCTAAAAACAATAGCCCAACTTAACACGACACACTATTTAAATGTTTAAAATTATTTAAACTTCGAGACTAAACATGTAATAAAAAAAGAAATGCGTCCTGTTACCATCCATCCATTATTTACATGATAATTGGTTATGTATAATGCAAGGCCATAAGTTGACCTTTAGTCTGTCTGTTAACGCATGAATAAATTAACTACAAGCGCTGCTATAAGAGGTAAGAAAAACGATAAACTATGTGACAACTTAATTAACTGTCGTTAATAAGTCTTTAAGCTGATTTCCTACTAGACACGCCTTTTAATGTCATCCTCTCGTGTTTCTGGTTTAACTCAGACGGTTTAACACACATTGTAACATGTTTTCCTGAAATATTTTAATGCAAAATTGTATACTTCACATGTTTAGACCTACCGACCGGTATCTTTTTCCCAGTTGACCACATTTGGTCACAATAAATCTGCCAGTTTTGTATGCGTTAGATCGCCTTAACGACCAGAAAACTCAACCCGCGAACATCGATGTTATCACCTGTTCGAGATATTTATGTAAATTCAGTCACACACAACTCTCACTGTACAGGTTTCAGTGGTACAAGATTCGAGCTTTGACTAATGAAAAGTGATGGAACCTTTAAATTGTCCATGATACGGATACAGGCACCAGAATTCATACAGGGTGATTAGTACTCAGTGTGACAAAAATTTTTTGGTGTAAGTACAAAGTAAATGCAGTATGATGATGCATATTAAATGTCCCAAGTCTAAAAATTAGCTTCCCAAAGAATTATTTTATGTTTTAAAAAAATAACTATGTTTTTAAACTTAATACAGCTATTTCTCAATTACCTGTATATGAATTTGAGTATGTAGATGATGTCATTTTCGTGTTCTACATTAACTTTTGATTAAGAATAATACAAAATGACAGAGGATCAGTTGTAAAAACTCCATTGTAAATAGATTCAAAGATCAAAATTAAGATGTTTGATAAAGATTTAAAAAACAATGGTCTATTGCATTTTTCACACCCTGTATACAAGAAAGTGTCGGAATATGTTAAAAACTGCGCCATTTTATAAGCTTTCCATCCATATGCTACACTATTGAGGTTTAGATATTTTTCTGTTTGTTTTAGTGGTTTGAATGCCAGAAAACAGGGAACTTTTTAACTGTTTTACTGTTCAAGCTGAAACAAAAATACAACTTTTGCTTAAAACATGCCGACTTTCTATGTTTTAAATGTTTAAGACACCATGCTTTGTAGTCTTCAAACCACTAAAGCGTACATAAAGCTCAATGGTGTAGCATATGGTTGGAAAGCTTATACAATGGCGCAGTTTTTAACATATTCCGACACTTTCTTGTATACAGGGTGTGAAAAATGCAATTGACCAATGTTTTTTTAATTTTTATCAAACATCTTAATTTTTATCTTTGAATCTATTTACAATGGAGTTTTTACAACTGATCCTCTGTCATTTTGTATTAATCTTATTCAAAATTTAATGTAGAACACGAAAATGACATTATCTACTCAAATCCATATACAGGTAATTGAGAAATAGCTGTATTAAGTTTAAAAACATAGTTATTTTTGAAAAACATAAAATAATTCTTTGGGAAGCTAATTTTTAGACTTGGAACATTTAATATGCATCTACATACTGCATTTACTTTGTACTTACACCAAAAAAATTTTGTCACACTGAGTACCAATCACCCTGTATAAATATTGGTGTTTGAATCGCCTGCATTAGGCTAATCCATTGATTGCGCTCAGCAACTTGTAGGGAGAATACTGGTGCCATCATAAAACTACTCTTAAAATCGTTTAAGTTTGTTGTCTTATGCTGTAGAACAACAATAACAGACTATTGGCAGGAAGAATATGCCTATATGTTAATCGGGAATGTGAGCCATGCCGAATTTCAGCCCAATCCGACCAGTATTTTTCGTGTTTACTTGTCACAAACATACATACATCCATACATCCAAACTTTCTCATTTATAATATTAGTAGGATGACTATGTACAACGAGCATTAATTTATATGTCACAATAAGAAATTTAATACGTCTTTGTATTTTGTGCTCTGCTTTGTCTAATTCCTCACAAAACGATTGGTGAGTTTCTCAGCCCAAGCCCAGAGGCGGCTGTCAATGTTGACGTGGACTCAACGAAAAGGTTGTTATTATCGAATGAACTAAACATAAATAATAACAGCTCATGTCACTTCCTATTTCCAAGGCCTCCAGACGAAAAAAGGGTTATGATGAATCAAGTAAAACAACCTTTTGATGGTATCCATGTAAAAATCAATTAAAAATTTGTAAACATTTTAACTTCAACAATTTTTGATTGTGATAACCCTAAAACTGATTGAGCAAATCTCGTATGAAATAAAATCACGTATGCTTCCATTGATATAGGGTTGCTCGCAATCTTGGATTGCCGGTGTATGTATAGTGACATTGAATTATTGCCACGG